CCCCCCCCCCATTTGTGCCTCGTTTTTTTGGCGCCATGGTATGCGTACGGTACGGGCGGCTTTAAAACAGATGGTACGTTCCAGGAGCGCTGTCTACGTCAACGAGCTGCTCACGGAGCTCGAGTTCAACCACTTCTTTGAGCGTCAAGAGACGTGGAGGGTGGAGAGAAGAGCCCCCCGTGTCTAGTCAAGGGCTCTAGCTATTTAGCGCTTATCCTGACAGCTCGCAGTGAAAGGCTACAATAACCTTGGTTGGTTTGGAAACTTGTCCGGCTGCGTGTTAAGTGTCGTTGAAACGAGCGTGCGAGGGCTGCCAGCCTCTTTGACTCGGATTTCGCGACGGCAGCTGGGTTAGATGGGTTAGCCACCGCGTTTTCTTGGTTGTTTCCCCGCGGTGGATCGTGATGGGTTTCGTAGACCATGATGACAGGGGCAGTCGCGGCGGATGCAAGAGGGAGAGTGGGTGCGTGCCTGGAATGTCATGAGAGAAAAACCCCAAAGAAAACCGCCGGCAACTTCGCCTCTTTTTACGCGATAACGTGTTGGACTGGATGGGGGCAGTCAACCCATGCCCCATGCCCCATGCCCCATACGCACCCTCGAACGATACGAAACGGTCGAGACAGGGTGTCTCATGAAACACGCAGAAGTGCGCTGTCAGCACGCCGCATGTGTCTTTGTTCGTATGATGCACTGAACAGAAACAAATCAGGCGGAACCGTGCCTACTGATCTTTGTTGATGGCGATCATGACGTCACGTACGCATGTATCCAGATGGAGCACCGCTGAGACGTTGCCAAATCGTTAAACGGAATTTACGTTTCAGTGCGTAGCAGGCACACACGTGGCTGCGTGCCATTTTTTTCACTCGAAATTTTCAGCGGCTGGTCGAGGTTTCTCATGTACCACAACAACGCGAAAGGGTTTCTATGCAAGCTACAAGGCGAGAACGCCGCCTCCCCCACCTTCGCCGAACAAATAACACGACCACCACCATCACCAATGTAAGTTGAGCCAAACACAAGCCAATTTATTCTTCTTCTCGTTGGCCGGTCGTCTTCAAACACGGCAGCCGCAACCACAACATAACAAAAATATATATATGGGGGGTAAAAAGGAATAGCCAACGTTTTCAGGTTCCCCGGGAGCTGTGGCGCCCCCCCCCCCCCCCCCCCC